GCCATAAAACTAGACCAAACTTGGATTATGCAGCAAAAATGATGATCCACAAGCATACCAGAACATCCATCTCTGAAAGGCTTAAAGAAAAGAATGTTTTCAAGTACCTTACTCAAAGTCTGTAATTCGGTGTGATTGAGGTGCCTTAACACATGCTCAACACCTTTTCAGATACTTGTTTTACCTTTATTTCAGTTCTGAACTTGAATAACTTAAATTCTCAGCAATGCTGAGGCATAATTACCGAACAGCCATGCACTTACAAATGTATTACAGTCCCAGAGCCAGTGGAGGCAGGGGGGGGACTTAAATACTCCTTGAACTTTTCCATCTCACCTGGAAGAAGAGCACCTCTCTTATTTTATTTGCAGAAACCCAAGTCATTTTTGGGGAAGGATTTTGTTTTATTTTTAGCTGCATAACATAGCAACATGACAACAGATCAGCCATTAAAAGCATGCAAGTTACTGTTGTCAGCGCTCGCTGTCGAACGCTCACTGCTGCAGCGGCCCACGAGCGCTGGCAGCAGGCCCACACTCACGGTGCGCATCGCCCTCCTCTGTTCGCTCTCTCTATCATTCCCACTCATGTCTTTTGCACTCGCCGTGTTTCACCTGCCTAGTACAATTCTCCACAGCCAGTGATTCAGAATGAGTGCAGCTGATGAGAGGTGCACAACAAAAAATATTACTGGATGAAAATTCCCTGTAGTCCATTTCAGCAAAGGTAAGCAAAAGGATTCCCGTAGGATGCAATGCGATTATAAAGCGATGCGTACTGTTTAACTGGCACGCATGTTGAGTTTGGAGCAACATCTGTTGTTAATGCACTTATTATAATTTAATGATACAGGACATGCACTGAACATAATGTATAACAAATAATTTTTAAACATTTTATCATGATAAATCAACACAGCGCTGGATAAATAAGAAGTGGAGGGAATCTGGTTTTCCACAAAAATCCAATACATCTATGTACAATTCAGACTGACAGAAACGAGGCTGTCATATCGCAGCATCTGCCCTTTTTCCCAACTCCAAAATGGAAGATAGTTGAAGTGTCTTGCCCAGCAGAAGCAGACAGAGCAGGAATCAAACCAGCGACCCACCAGTTTCCAGGCGAACTCCTTGAAACTCACCACTGCCAGTCAAAACAATGCGTGAGTATCACTCTTGCTGCTGAAAGGACTAAAATTTTTCCAGCTTAATTGTGTTTTCCTTCATCTTGTAATGTGATTATTGAGTGCTGCACATAGTCCTCCACTGTTGGCAAGATAATAAAGTTGTAGTCTCATGAGTTTTAAGACTTCTGTTCCAAATTGTGTTGCTTAATGGACTGAAATGGTATCATTGTTTGTACAACTGCTCATTATTCGTCAGATGCCAGGTTTCCTTGGGAAATACTTGTTGGAGAAAATGATCAAGAATATCTAATGCTATTTGTCAGCTTTCTCAGGCAAAGCAATGCAGCTTCAGTTGTACTGAACCTTTTGTTCAAAGTTAATACCGAGAAAAAATGATAAACACCAAGAAATATACTGAGGGAACATAATAGTAGAAATGTATGCATATAAAAAGAGAAGAAGTAAAAGCTCTCTTTTCCTAAAAGTACACTTTTTATGTTTGTCTGTCTTAGTCTTTGTGCATACAAATGTTTTATAACCCCATATCATTCTCATTACAAAGAGTTTGGGAAAAATTAAATGCATAACAAATTAATATAATGTAAGTGTGTGTGTGTGTGTGTGTGTGATAACTATGAAAGGGCAGGGATGGGAAAGGTTCCGTTCTCAGGTGCCAACACCACACACCTCCTCTCTTTTATTCGCCAATGTCTTTCGTTCATGCAAAAGTAGGTTAGGTGACACAACAGTTTCCATGGCAACCACTCTTTTGCTTCCACTTTGAAGGGTAGTTAGAGGCTGTACGCGTGTGTGTGTGTGTGTGTGTGTGTGTGCATGCGTGTACGCATGTGTGCGTGTTCTCACAGACAGTGTCTCTGTGTGGCCTGGTCTTAAAGAGGGTAATAACAAGGTCACAGAGTCTGTGGAAGACTGGCTGAGGGATGCTCTTCTTATTGTGTTTTCTGACACAACAAGAAAAACATCTTGTTGTGTCAGGCAAATATAAAAATTATATATGTTTTATTAACAGGTAGACCACATTTACCATAGACTTTTGTTAATGTTGACCTGCAGCACTCATCCAAAAGCAGCTGCTATATATGTTCCTTGTGAAAAACTTTGATGTTCTGTGTAAATCCTGGTGGAAAACTAAAATTCAAAGTATGGCAATATTTTATTAAAATTTATAAAACTGGCTACAGTGTCTTTACTGTATTCTTTTTACATCAAAATGAAATATAATAAACTCTATTGTTACAACTAATTCCCTTAAGAATAATAATAAAAAAAAAATCAGCAACTTAGAAAATTGGAAAAAGGTGAACACTGTCACGATCTGTGTTTGTGTGTTTATTTTTGAGTTTTTCTGTGTAGTGCTGTTCCCTGTGAGTCTCTGTCCTGTCCTCCCCGTTTGTCTCCCAGGTGTGTCTCGTCCCCTTGATTACCCCGTGTGTATTTAAGTCCACCTGTAGTCTCCGTCTCTTGTCAGATCCTCGTCGTTGTTAGCGTCATTCCTCATTCTTCGTGTCCTACGTCAGTTCGCAGTTTCCTCAGTAGAACTGTATAGTCCTGAGGTTTCATGTGTCAGTCTTTGTCAGTTGCTACCGGTATTAGCTGTGTGCTAACGTGCTGCCTGTCCTGGACTGTGAGATCTTCATTAAATTCATCATCTTCTCCACACCTGGGTTCTCTGCGTCTCTCCTCACCACCACCAACCATACCACTTCATGACAAACACGGCTGAAAAGGATCTACAAACCAATGGGAAAAGACCAACACAGATCCCCAGGAGAAATTAATCCTGTAGAACATAAATGAACAAAGGGGAAATGATCAAAACAAAAATGAAAACCAAAACCCAAACACCTGCAGATCATTTCAAGAACACGAAGCGTGGGGTTTCAAAATTATTCATATAGAAAACTGGGACATTTTGACACAGATTTGTATTTTTCCCTATGACTGTGATAAATAACAAAGAACTGCTTTAAGAAGTCATCCAATTATCAAATATATTTCTTTACATGTTTGTAAGAGAACCTTGGTGAACAAACATAATTATGAAGTTAAAGAAAGGCATGATTAAGTTTTAAAACAATACCCCAAGCTTTGATTATCTGACAAAGCACTGTTAAATTCTAAAATAGTGTGAAAGTATATCTATGCGTTGGAATGACCCAGTCAAAATTTAAACCTAATTTCACTTGAAAATATGTGTAGCAAGCCTATATTGCAAAGGAAAAAATGGGCAAACAAGATGTAAAGCAAAACAACATACCAAGGGCTTGGAGCTGTAATTGAAACAGAAGTTGCAAAGTCTCGGTTCAAAGGGCTGAATACAAATCCATGCCACACCTTTTCAGAATTTTTGTGTAATCCTTTTAAAACTTTAAGCCCTTTTCCTTCCATTACACAAACTGTTTGTTGCAGTTTTTATTGACCTGTCACATAAATCCACATAAAATCTGTTAGCGTATGTGGTCGTAACATTACGACATTTAAAAATATCTCAAAAGCCACGCATGCTTTCATAAGGCAGCGCACAATAGTGTCTCTGGCGGTCAGTGCTAAAAAGGTGCAGCTGGAGGAATGCAGAAGGCAGGATGTTGGAGGATGGTGAAGGATCAGTGTGGCCCAACAGTAAACAGGATCAAAACTGGCACAAGTCTTTAATTGTGTCCCTTTCATTGTTGTTTTGTTGAACTGTATCACTTGGTCTCCATACAAACTCCTTCTTTCACATTGTTTTACGAAGCCTAATACTGGCGTTGCGATACCATCAATCATCGTTATTAAAGCTTATACATGTTAATGTGTGTTTTTGTCCAGCTTTCAGACACCCTGTTCCCAAGAGGAACTCATCTCTCGTGTCATCCTCTGCTCATCCTCTCTTTTCATCTCGTCTTGGCTTCTCTCATCTTTTTCAGTAAGGAAGCTTGGGATTGACTTCAATAGGGCTCAACAGGAGGGAGAAGAGAGAAAGATGGAGAAAAGTTGGAGGAGAGAAGATTGAAACTGAGAGTGAGGTACTGTCAGTAAAAAAAAAGAATCGTTTGAGAAGAGGCAAAAATAAAAAAACAAAAAAGTCAAAAGGAAAGACGGTGACTGACACACACAAAGAGAAAGAGTATGTAATTACAGGACTCCCAGTGCTTTCAAAGCCCTCCTTTTATCTAATTCTTCCTGTGGATGAGAAAAGAGGAAGTGGTGTGAAGGATGAGGAGGAGGAAGAGTAAAGTCCAAGCTTTAGTCCAATTCAAACACCAGGCACTGGGTCGGCAGCATCAAAGACTCACTCAAACTAATTGATGCCTTCTGTTTCAAAGGCATTCATCATCTGAAGGCGAGTCTTTAAGTGGATGGGAAGGTGATTCACGTAAAGCACTTAAATGGCGATAATGCATGAGAAATGTTGTGATTATTGTTTATCCTGCGACACACAGCTGGGGTGTTGTTTGGCTCCTGTCGTGCTTTGCTGTGTATAAACAGCAATAACCTCAGGATGCAGCATTACTGCTGGAGTAAAATAAAGCAGCTGAGACTGAACTGAACCATAGTTGTTATTAAATTACTGCAAATGAAACTAACTGTTAGGACGAAGCTTCTCCTGGTCTTCCTTGAAGAAAACATGTCTACTGAAATGTCTGCCTGCGAAATATGTAATAATGAATCAATACCATGTTTTAAAAGACATGATTTGTCCATGAGGTTGGTAGCTGTACATATAACAAAATCTATTTTTATTACGTCCATAATTACTGTAAAACACAATAAGAAAGAAGTTGTCTGTTCATAGGTTGTTGTATCCAATACAAAATGTAAGCCACTTCATTCATACGAACACTAGATGGCAGAGTCGAATCGTAACCCGCACCATGTTAATTGACAGTCTACCTGGCACACGTTAATCGGTTTCTCTTTCAAGGGCGGAGGAAACAAATCACAAACTCTGTTTTTTTTTTTTTTTTTGCTCACCAAGGAGGAGCTTGAAGACACGCCGACATGCGCCAAAGTGGAGGCTGAGACGCTGCATTATCGCTGGACGGAGTTTAACTCCTATGAACGCAACCAGTCGGTCGGCGATGCTCACCCGACGCCACGCAGGAGATTAAACACCGATCATCAGGTCCGCTGATAGCGCAGAGCAGCAGGAGAAACCGCGCCGGTGCCCCGAAAGCCACGCAGCTCCAGGTAAGAACTCCACTCTGAGGAATGCACGGACAGATTGCTGCAAGACTTCGGGGAAATTCCTGAGCAACACTTTTTTTTTTCTTTTTTTTAAATGCCAGATAAACATGTGCTTTACTGTAAAATGACCTCATAGAAAACAAATACATTAGAGCAAAGTAATAGGAGTCGTTCGGAACAGTGATCAGCACTGATAAAACAGCACCAACCTCAAAAGGACAATTGATTCAATTACGTGAAGGTCTGTTTCTGTTTGTAAATGTGAAGTAAAATATGAAGGACCTTTGTTGTGAAGTCAATACAGAAATTAATTTCCAGCGTTTTTCTTTGCACAATATCATCCAGAGTGAATCTTTTGAAAAGTGTGAAGCAAGCATCCTAAACACTTCTGAAGTATGTGGAGGGTGCATGTTGGTACAAAAGTTTTAGCCCAAGGAGGTAGAATAATGTTCACATCACTAGTTGTATAGTTTATAGGCCTCATTGACTTTGTGACAAGGTTGTGATTTAAGATCCTAAAATATAGAGCTAGATGTTATCTTTGTTTCTTGGTTTGTTAGAAAGCAATTTTAATGAGCTCTTTTTTTTTGTATACGTGAGGTTGTAACTGTTTTATTAGAGTTTCTTTTTTTTTAAACTTTTTTTAAGATTATGCATTTGAGCGGGTTGCACAGCTTTCTGCTCTGTCTACATAATTGTTTTCTTGGTGCCGCCTGACTGTCCCGGGCCCCGGGCCCCCCGGGGGAAGTCCTGCCCGCAGACAGGCAGCTCAAGCCGGCTGGGGGACATGTCAGGTCCTGCTGCACTTCTGAAGTCTACTCGCTTGCTTGGCTTTGAACTGGAGCTCCTGGAGGAGGAAATCAATCCGTCTCTATCCACACTGCCTCTCTGACTCCCCCTGGAGCCCCCCCAGCGCAGCCCGTCACTGCTGCCACAATGATCTTTCAAGTTCACGAGTAGAAAGTCAAAAGGAGACAAGAGGAAAGGAAAAAAAAAAAAAAAACAGGAGGGAGTGTAACTCATCTTCAAAAGACCTTAATATGGTTTCTGGGGATTAAAGGGATGAAGGGAGGACAGCTAACAAAGCCGGTGCCTGTAGTCATGATCATCCAATACCAGACTGATAATGTGTTTACTTACTCGCCACTCCATCACTAAACGCTGCTCAGATTTGGAATTCACACAATAGCTCTATTTATTTTGGAGTGTTTTTTTCTTGTGAAAGTGAATGTTGAGATTTATGTTGGATCGCAGCTGATTTTAATCCAAGTCGGTGTGTTCATTTACCCCATGGGAAAAAAAAAAATGGATCTCTGGGGGCCTGCTGGGGTTAAATATTTTTGTAATGCTTGACACGTCTCAGAGGAAGTTTCCGCTTAACACATCATACAACGTTTACTTATGGAGGTAAAGTTGTTTTAGTTCAGTTGAGAAAATTATTGCCGCTAATGCTACTTGATTGGAGCTTGTATCCAAATGGGGTCAACTACATGAAGAGCGTTTTGTGGATAATCCTGACAGGTTACATTAATGTTCAGGATTAGCTGTGGTGGCTTGTAAAAATATGCTGTATTTTTTTGTCACGCTGCAATCTCAATTTTCAGGCCTTCCCTCCTGCTGTAAACAAATGAGGGCGGCAGTGGACTTGCCGTTGCTTCCCTGGTCCCAACATGGTGGCATTGCTGAAGATGTCCTGTATTTAGCTCTCACCTTTTCCTCATAATCTCAGGTCCTGCTAACAGAAACCATCTCAATAGCATGATACTGCCACCATCATATTTCATTGCTTGCATGTGTTCAGAGTGTTTTGCAGAGTTAATTCTTCTCTGAACCTATTTTTCTTTCTATGTAGGCAAAAAGGCTTAAATTTGTTACTAACTGAGAACATTCTTCTGCATCTTTACAATTTAACTAGTGACAAACGGAATGTTTTTTTTTTTTTCAGTAATTTTTTTTTTCTTGTCACTCTTCCATGAAGGCCAGATTGATGGAGATTATGGACAAAATTCACACTGTCCATAGAGTTTCCCAACTGAGTTATTAATCTCTGTCGTTCCTCCAAAGTCATCGTTGGTCTCTTGGCTGCTTCACTGATGAATGCTTTCCTTATACATGAATGACTATCTCTTTCTTGCTTTTCAGTTTTATAACACTCATCCCATTTTTGGATGAACAGTGATTTTTGATGATGGATTTTATTTTGGTGTATCACAGTAAAGGTACTGCATAAAAATGCTCAGCACAGTATTTTCAGGTTTTATTTTTAGGAAAAAAATTGAAAAGCAAATATAATTTACCTTCCTTTATACAGTAATGTACATTATTTATAACATAAAACACCACTAAGATATACTGAAGTTTATGTTTGGAAAGTGACAATCAAAGTTCAGTTAATATGAATAGTTTTGCAAGGTACTACTTGCATTCTGGAGTTTCATTTGCAAATTACAGAGGATAAATTAACAAATAGGCTTTAATAAATGACGTTATCAAACATAGGACAAAATACACAAACACATTTCTGAACAGAAATTACTTTCAGTTTGTGAAAATTTGGATGTGTGCTTAGAATATCAGATGAAAATCATCACAAACCATTTCTAATCAAAAGTAATTAAAATTAAAGACAGGTGTTTTTAAAACCAACTAGCCTTATTTATTTGGGCCTGAACAGTCATCAGTGTGGAAGTCAGTTCAGTCTTTGTCCTCACTTCTCATCTGGCTGCACTTAACCCACTCTCCTCTGCAGTCTTTACGCTTAAGTTGTTAGCAATCAGATAATAATGTGTTGTTGCTGTTAATTTGTATCCGATTGCAAGTTCTGACGAGCCTCACCCTGTGGAGCGGAGGGATTGGTTTGTTGAACATAAAACTTTGGGATTCTGAATCTGAGTCTCTCACAATGACCTATAGGATCAGAGTGGGTGGTTAAAACATTGATTTTCCTTAAGCAGCTCCTTTAGGTATTAGCTGTTCGGCTATTTCAAAAGAAAGGAGAAGTTTGACATTTCCTGACTGCTGAATGTCTGAAAATCTGCTTAGTAGATGCAGGTATAATTTAACATTGTCAGAATTCTGATTTGGGCTGTTTGTGTGAAACTTAGTTGTTACTTGAGAGATCGGCTATTACTTTTGTTTTACCTTGACACTGTGTTATTTATTATTATTTCATTTATTATCTGCTAGTTTTTTGAATGAGTGATGAAAACCACTTGGTTAGCAACAAAGGTTTGAATTAAGCACTTATTTATTTCAAACTAAGTTTCTCACATATCATCACACACTTGATTTGTTAGTGTGTTTCTTTTGTGACTGGAATAAAACAACCCTTTCATTTTTTTTTATTTTTTTTTTCATTGTTTGAATATACTACGATATCAATGCATGTTTAGCTAAAGCTGTCAAAAACCCACATAGATGTGTTTTGTTTCCTTGGCTGGGTCTAAACTCTCATTATTCCCAGTCTCCAGTTGGTAACAGCTCCAGATAGAGCAGTGATTCTTCATTGAGCTCCCTCGGGGGCTTCCAGGAAGTCTCATGAAAACATGGGGGATAGCTGCATTTCATTAATTTCTGATTTATGTTTCGTGATTCCAGCAAAGCTTTATACAGCAAAGCTTCCTAAACTGCAGTGCTGGTAGTAGTCACTGTGCATTAGCTTGAAAACATCCTAGTGTTTGCTAACTTTTATGCAGATAATACAGAGGACCTGCAACTGTCAGCAGAAGGCTACATTAACATATGGTGGGTAGCTGTTTCTCTATAAATGTAAAGCAGGAGGGAGGTCATAGTGGTGTGATGTTTTCATTTGAGATTTTCTCTGTAGGTAAGCCAATTCATCAATTTCTGAGAAGATTTACTTATCATGTCACCCATGAAATGTGCAGAACATTGGTGCTGTAGGCCAGGATTTGTTGCTTTTTATGTTCCATAATCAAATGCGTCACACTTAAAGCATAACTAGCAGTGGGAGTCATTCGGAATATATTTATAGATTTACCAAAAAACTGACCAGAATTTTCTGGTTTTCAGCTTGACCACACCTGACAGGTTGGAATCTCCAAAATGTATCATTTTTCTGATCAACAAAAACACTAAATGTAAGCACTGCCAAGTTACAGTGACAGTAGAAGTTGTTACTGAAGAGAGAAGACTCACTAAGGTATTTTCAGAATAAGTAAGGTGTTCATAAATATATTTAGCAGAATTACAAAATATATCGAAAAGAAATTTGTATTTGCAATGGAGACACAAAGGCTGTTCATTCAGGCTGCCCATTAGTGAGCTGGATTTCGGCTGGATCATTTTATTTAGTTGAAGTTTAGATCATCGGCAAATAGATGTCAACTCGTGCTCATGAAGTTCTGTCAAACTGGTGACAATGACAATCGAGCAACTTCCACAAGTACAAGAAAAACTCAATGCATTGCATCTGTGGCTTTATCTACACTAACCCACATTTTTTGTGAAACTAATATTTTACGAGTTGTTTGCCCCTCTGTTTGGGAAAAGAACAGCTGGATACCTTGTGATTATAAAACCTGATTCCACATCGGCCAGTCTTGCATGTGTGCAGTGTTTATGTGTGCATTTTGTGCCGCAAATCTCAACAACAGTGAAGCAGTTTCTAATGAATTACTCCAGATTTGTCCATCTGTTCTTACTCTGTTTGTAACATGAAATGTGAGCTAAAGAAGTTAATGACTGACGAGGAAGCGTAAACACGGTCTAATAAAGCGGGAGTTTTGGGAGATTGTCTAGTCCAGCGCTGCTTTAATCCTGCACAGAGTTTTCTTCAGTTGAATTTTAATATCAACTTTATCACCTTCTGTTGGTGCAGGGAATTCAGAGTGCTTTAATTTGAAATGCAACATGTAGACTTTCTTTACCGAAAAAAGAAAAAAAAAATCTATTGAAAAATACCTCTGCCTGCTACAGAACATGCTTGATTTGGACATTTTTTGACACCTTTTTGAGAATTTTTGAGTATTTGACTGATGTTT